CTTCCTCTCTAAAATCACTAAGTAAAAATTTAAAAAGAACGTCCAAACCTGTAGAAAATTTTATGAGTTTATTTGAGTTAAATGGATGGCAATGGAAAGGAAGCAAGATCTCAAATGTTTCAGAGAATGACAGTTTGCTGTTTCTTTTATGCATTTGGAACTAAGAAGGGAATGTAAGAAAGATTACATGAAAGTGGGTGAAAGGAAGGCAGGGATTGGATCACAGGATAATTAAGATTCTGTGCTCTCTTTCAGGAGTCTGGAAAAGAGAATTACTTCTGGCATTTCAAAGGTGTGCTAATCTATATGCACAAGAACAATAAACAGGCTTGCCCAGCCGGTGTTGCTCAGTGGCTGAGCATCGACCTATGAACCAGGAGGTCACAGTTTGATTCCCAGTCAGGGCACATGCCCGGGTTACGAGTTTGAAACCCAGTGTGTAGGGGACAGCCAATCAATGATTCTCTCTCATCACTGATGTTTCTCTCTCTCTCCTCCCTTTCCCTTCTTCTCTGAAATAAATAAAAATATATTTTTTTAACTATATGTGTGTGTGTGTGTGTGTGTGTGTGTGTGTGTGTGTGTGTGTGTGTGTACAATAACAACAACAAAAAACCCACAGGGCTTGCTTAAACCTTTTACTAAAGAAGTTACAGGCCTGGTGCATAACTACCCACTATGACCTGACCAGTTAGGAATTTATGATCAGATCACCCTATGAGGTTACTTTCTGTTAGATTTATTACAGTGCCCCCTTTTCATCCGCAGTAACACCAAAACAAACCAAGGATAGATCAAGATGCTGAGGGCAGTCACCCCAATAAAAAACCAGACCCCTATGCCCAGTTCCTGGACCTGAACCAATTTCAGATCCTGAACCCACTGACTGAAGGAATCCAGGTCCCCAGGAGAAAGGAACCAGTTAATACCAAAGCAAGTGTAATAATTCCCTAAGAAATCTATGGCTCTAAGACCTAATATGCCCCTGCACTTGTTTAATACTCTGCAGTTGCTGTCTTGAAATTCTTAATAATTTTATCTATAAATTTGTGTTCTGTAAGTGACGTCTGATGGGGAAAATGAAACGTGCTGGGGGCTTAAAGCTCACACACATGATCTATCTCCTCTTGTTTTCCCAGGAGGGGCCTCTTGGCCACACCCTCTGGCCCCACCTGGCCATCCTTTCCTTGCCTGGGCTTGGGGGAACCGGGGCACTTTTAGTGGGCAATTTCTCTTATTCATTCTCAGTCCAGGACTACTGGGCACACAAAGAATGTAGTTGGCCCTGCTTATGGCCATTCATTCAGGTAACTGTAAACTGTTTTGAGGACAGGCTGATATTGACATCTGGAGTCTAGAACTGTCATGGACTTAAGAGGACCAGGAAATAAATTGAGTCCTGGCCAAGATCCAGCCCACTGGATCTGTGGACCCTTCTGGTGGTCATTTCCCAGGGCCCCGAGTATAGAACTGAAAGAGAT